GATCTCTGCTACCACTAGATCTGCTTTCGCAAAATTTCAAACATTACTTCATATTGTTAATACAAATAAAATGATTTATGAATTATTCAAATCGGACGCTCCGTTCTCTCAAAAACTTATTTACCATTTTTGGCTTTTTTTGCCCCGTATTTTTGAAACGACTAGTCCTGCTTTTATCAAAAACTAATCAGCACATCTCCATATCAATACAGATCGAATGTTTTTTGAATTATTGAAATTGGTTGATTTGTGTTCCTGAAATAGTCGACTAAAATTTGTATCTGCACACACACACACATACACATACATTCATTTTCTCTAAAGTATGCCAAAATGTTCAGAAACCACTGAAACGTAATATATAAAAATATTCATTTTAATTTTTTTTTGCGATTACTATAACTTACTTTTCAGGAAGCTGAAAAAATTGTTGTACTAAATGTTAAAATCTCGGTCTAATGATTTTTGACCGCCATATTGCACTTTTTTTACTTTTTATATAATAAATTTTATCAGTCAATTCTAATTTTATACCTGTTAATTTATCTACTTGTTGACTTGCCTACCTATCTAAATCTCTCTCGGTCTACCTGCCAACTTTTCTTCTTTCCTACCTGCATACTTGTTCACATGTTGTCAGTTTTTCTGTCTACATATTCACCTGTTATTCTGTCCACTTGTTTACCTGTCTTCCTGCTTACCTATCTTTCTGTTTGCGTGTTTACCTGATTGATTACCATCTACCAGTCATTAATATCATTCTACCAGTTTATCTGTCTAACTATTTTTTTCTACTTTACTATTTTTTCTCTCGTTTAAGTGTCTACATGTTTAGTTGCATATCTGTCTACCTGCCTATCCGTCAAACTAGTTACCTGTCTACTCTTTTATTTCTACATATCCATTGATCATATTTCTACGAAATAAAGTTGGATAGTTGTTGAAACTATTTCTCTACCGAATTAGGTAAAAATAATTTCGTAACTGTTATTCATTATTGTACAATTAATTATTTTCTAGAAAAAGTGCGATACTACAACTCACTCCATTTTTGGGGCTAGTTGAAACGTCTACCAAGGCAAGTAGTGACAATAAAAAAACGACAATAAAACCTTTGTTTAATTTATTTTTTACTTATTTTAAAGAAAATTGTCTTGTTTCTAAGTTATTCTACGCATGAATCAACATAAACTATAATTAATACTAATAAAATATATAAATCAACGTAAAATACATTTATTATCATAATACAAATATAAAATTTAGTGCTTCCTGTAACACAAATTACATGTGCTTATATCTTAAAAACCATATATTCCATGCAATCCTCTTCACTTGAATCTGTATATAAATTTTGTATGGTACAATTAGCCCCAAGGTTTAGTTTAATCTAACCCCAGGAGTATATTTTTACATTGATCAAGATAACTATCTTTACAATTTAGAAATCACAAAAATTGTTACACATCAAAGATTGATAAATTTCAGGCAAATTAAGATATATAAAATTTTAAATTAGTCAATAATAATAACGCAAACCGAAATAAGTAAAGTTCTGTTTATTGCGTCGACCTGCGGGACAAAAGCCACGACAATATTATGCCATTACATAGGTCCTGGCTTCCTATAGGAGTCAACAATAGTGATTTGTTAAGATCATAATTGACCAACAAATGTCAATTAAACTTGAATGTGTTTTTTTTTCTTGCAAAAATTATTCGATTAATGTAATAATAGATTTAATCAGCCGAATTTAAGATTCAGATATATAGATAAAATATTCAAATGTTTTTTTGAGTTTTATATTTTACTAATAATAATTAAGCATTCTCAATTTTTCATGACTCAATTATTGATATCGTCATTTGATAAATTGTCCGACTTTTCTCTACTAAGACTATGAGAGGCAGAGTTTATGAAATGACGTTGTTTGCGCCGCACCTGTGTAGGTTGTCGGACCTGTAAAAGGTTTGTTTTTCTACTCGGACAATACGTTTCAAATTTATGCAATCGGGCAATTCTGACTCAAAAAAGAACGATGCAGGCAATAGTTCTGGATTCCGAGTCTATTCTTTCCGTGGCTTTCATTCATTCAGTTACTTTCAACAAGTACTTTCAGTTCCTTTCAGTGTTCGAGTCTATTCTTTCCGTGGTTTTCATTCATTTCGGTTTAATTCGTTCATTTAGTTACTTCCAATCAGTACATTCAGTTCATTTCAGTGTTTGTTATCAGTTCAATATTATCAGTGGATTAAGTTTCTATTGTGTGTCAAGTCAACCAGTTATTTTTTTTTGTTTTGTTATCAGTGTATTCGAATTCTCTTTCAACATTTCCAACCGACTACGCTGATGTTTCCAGATCCAACCAAATAGCTGCCGCAATTTGGACTTCCAAACAGATAACATTTTTCATGCAATATTAATTAGTGTTCGTTTTTGTTTTTCATTTATATAAAATTTATATAGAATATATTTTAGTTTATTATTAATTACGGATTAAGAAGAACCTTATTTTTTAATTTATATTTGTATTCCAATTAATTTTTGTTTTCTGAATACATTTAATTTTTTTTTATTATTTCTCGGAGTATAAAATACTTCGAAAGGGGTGGAGAAACCCCCCAACATCAACATTTGGTTCTTTCGAGCCGGATCCTAATTATTATTAGGATTAATTGGGTGTATACAGAAAACAAAAATATATAATGGCGCCTAAAATCGATATTGGTGCAGAAATTGCACGTCTAACCGCCAAGAGAGAGATGTACTTTTCAATTGTGCAAGAAACGTACGATCTATGGCAACAAATTGATAAACCTCCAAATAAGACACAATTTCTTGAAAATTTATATATTACGGAAAATGCTCGAGAACAATTTATTCAATTGTGCAATGAAATAAATAAATTAAAATACCTAGATAATCCTAGTTTTATTCCGGAATATTCCGCAATAAATGCACTTGAAACGATGTATGCCAAAATAAAACACGCTGAGAAATTATTAGATAATAAAAATGCGCATAGTTCTTCAATTAAAGACATTGTACCCAAACAACATTTACCGTCCATTGAAGTACCTAAATTCTCAGGTGATATCCAACAATGGCCATTATTCTATGAAACATTTAATTTACTAATTCATGAAAATACAGAGTTAGATAATGTATCAAAATTCCATTTTTTAAAAGAAGCGTTACAGGGTCCGGTATTAAAAATATTTCATTCGATACTACCGACCGCAAATAATTATCAAATTCTTTGGGAAGCGCTCATCAAAAAATACCAAAATAAACGCTACTTAGCCACAAATTATTTCAAACAACTATTATCATTCAAAATCATTTCATCTGGACAAATAAATTTATTCTTGAAAAATTCGATACCGCGGTGCAAGCGCTCTCCCAATTGAATATTTCCGACGCCTATGATTTTCTTATAACGTCACTAGCATTCTCGAAACTCGATCCATTGTTACAAAAAAAATTCGAGCATTTTTATCAAGGTGAGTTTCCCAAATATAAAGACCTCTTGCAGTTTTTTAAAAAATCGCAACAAGCAAAAAATCAAGTCTATGGTATGACCAACAATTTTACTAATGAGAAACCAAATTACAAAAACACTAAAATTAGCCGGTCATTTTTGTTGAAAAATAAATATGATAACAATTGCTTTGTGTGTCGGGAACAACACAGAGTGTTTACTTGTTCGAAATTTCTATCATTGAGTATACCTGATCGGCGATCCCTTATTCAAAAATTAAACTTATGCGACAATTGTTTGGGTCATAAGATAACGACTACATGTCGATCGAATAAAACCCGTTTATTATGTAACGAACGACATCACTCGTTATTGCATACTGGCAGTAATTTTGCGAGTACGGATCAAAATAATCTTTCCAATTCCACATCAAATAGTACGGTTTTATGCGCATTTAATCAAAACAAAATCGCACATCATACTACCATATTGCCGACAGCAGTAGTAAAAGTTACCACTAGAAAAGAAAACATTTTATTACGTACAATTATTGATTCGGGAAGCGATAGAAATTTTGTGACATTAACTTGGTGCAAAAAGGCTGATTTACAATTTCTTCCAATATCAACCCAAGTGATCGGGTTAGGCAATTCGTCACATAAAGTTATTGGATTAGTTAATTTCACTTTGAAATCTTTAATTGATTCTAATCAGTTATCGGTCTGTGCATACGTAGTACACGAGATAGTGGGAAACAACCACAAATTACTATTCCGATTTTATCCATCAAAACATTTCTGAATTATCCTTTAGCAGATCTTAACTTTCATACACCCCAGGAAGTCGACGCAATTTTTGGCACTAATCAGGTTAAAAATGATAAAGGATTACCTGTGGCCCTAAAAACCCGATTGGGTTATCTAATATTAGGTTCCATTCCTGATTTATTTGAAAATACCGGCACTTCTACTAATTTATGTAATGTTTCAGATTCAGATTTTCATTTACAAATGAATAAATTCTTACAATTAGAAGACATTCCCGAAATAATCCCCTCTTCTAACGATGATTTATGCGAAAACCATTTTACTATAACTACTACGCTGCCTTTTAAAAGTGAAGGCAGAAATTTATACAAATCATTTCATTTAGCCTTAAAGCGATACCACATGCTTGAAAATAAACTTTTGAAATATCCCAAATTTCATAAAAAATATGCCGCCGTCATAGAAGATTACCTGACTCAAAACCAATTATCCTTTGTCGATTATTGTCCGGTAGATCATGAAGTCGATGATTTTATTAAAATAAAAAATGGATATTATATTCCACATTTCGCAGTCGAAAAAGAAAGTTCCTCCACGCCTTTACGCGTTGTGTTTGTGCATCTACGAAAAATTCAGAATTCACTTCCTTGAACGAAATTTTGCATGTTGGTCCTAAATTACAAACCGACATTTGTTCAATCCTTCTAAATTTTCGTTTCGGGCCTATAGCATTAACAGCTGATATCAAACAAATGTATCGTAATATTTGGGTTCGTAAACAAGATAGAAAATATCAAAAAATCTTATGGAGACCGTTTCCCGATGAACCCATTGGCATCTATGAATTAAATACTGTAACTTTTGGTCTATCGTCATCTCCCTTTCAAGCTATCAGAACCATCAAACAACTTTCCCGAGACGAATGTTCCAAATATTCTCAATCTATTTCTAGAATTCTTGAGAACGATGTTTATATTGATGATGTGGTTACAAGTATCGACTCTTTGAATAGCGCCAAAACCATTCGCGAGGGTCTGCAGAGGGAATCTAATAATTCTAATCTACGTAAACTTTTTCCTAATTCCGATGTACAAAACAAACATTTCTCTAAATCGGATTTTGAAATGGAATCTTCTACAAAGGTATTGGGATTAAAATGGGATCCCTTATCAGATAATTTTTCATTCGAAATAAAGCTTACGTGGAGAAAATGGACAAAGATACAACTTCTTTCAGTAATAGTGCAAATCTGGGATCCTCTGGGTTTCCTAACTCCGATAGTTGTTAAGATAAAAATATTATTGAAAAAAATTTGGACATTAAAAATCGATTGGGATGAGGAATTACCATCATTTATTATTACATCATGGTTAGCCGTATATTCCGAATTAGAGCATCTTAATAACTATCAGATTCCGCGTTATCTCGAAACGTCAAAACAAAACAAATGTTCATTATTTGGTTTCGCGGATAGCTCAGAGCAAGCGTATGGAGCGGTAGTTTATATTAAATCTCTTGGCAATCCGAATTTCTTGTTAATTTCAAAATCACGAGTAACACCAATTAAAAACCAAACATTAGCCAGGCTTGAACTTTGTGCTTGTCATTTACTGTCAAAACTTCTGAATTTTATATTAACGAATGACCAACATAGTATAGATTTTGATTCCATTTACTGTTTTTCCGATTCTATGATTGTCCTCCACTGGTTAGCAGGACCGGCTACTCGTTGGAAGACATTTGTCGCCAATAGGGTATCAAAAATACGGGATCTCATTCCTAATGCACAATGGCTTCACATTCTTTCTAATCAAAATGCAGCCGATTGTGTTTCCCGAGGTCTTCGACCTAAGGAATTTATCCAACATAAGAATTGGTTGTTTGGGCCGGATTGGTTAAACGGTCCTTTATCAACTTGGCCTGCAAAAACGGTTGAAGCTTCCGGAGATATTGATCGAGAAAGAAAAGCTAACGTTCTAATAGTAAAAAGTGTCATACCACCGATCAATCCTTTATATGAATTAACGCAAAAATTTTCTAATTGGTGCAAACTTGTAAGAATTTTCGCTTATATATTGAAGTTTAGTAAAATTATAACAAATCGAAACCGACTTTTGACTTCAGATTTGAAACAAGCCGGGGTAATTATTATTCGATTAGTCCAAGAACATCATTTTCCCAAAGAATTCAAACTATTAACGAACGGAAAGTCTTGTTCGAAGAAGTTTTGCCGACTAAATTTGGTTTTGGATTCTAATAATTGTTTACGCGTTAAAGGTAGATTAGGATTAACAACTAATAACAATCCACTTCTTTTGCCAAAAAAAGACCAAGTAGTAAATTGTCTCATAGATTACTACCATATTAATAATTTACATACTGGATCAAACTTAGTATTATCTTTATTGAGGCAAAAATATTGGATCTTGTCGGCTCGTGCAATAATTCGTAATCGTCTTCACAAGTGTATAACTTGTTTTCGACAGAATCCGAAACCCATTTTTGCATTCATAGGCGACTTACCAGTACCGCGCATAAAAGCCAGTAGAGCTTTCCTAAATGTCGGCGTTGATTATGCAGGCCCCTTCAATATCTCCATGAGTCGTCACAGAGGCGCTCAAACCTACAAGGCTTATATATGCTTGTTCATCTGTTTAGCTACTAAGGCGATACATCTCGAATTAGCTTCAGATTTAACAAGCGATACATTTTTAGATTGCTTCAAACGATTCCTAGCCCGGCGTGGTCCTATTAAATGTATTTACTCCGATTGTGGAACCAATTTTATAGGAGCCAAAAATACTCTTGATTCCTTATTCCTTCTCCTAAATTCCGAAAAGTATAAAAAGCGTTTCAATGAATTATTGGTTTTGCATGACATTGAATGGAAATTTAATTCACCGTTTGCCCCACATTTTGGAGGTATATGGGAGGCGAATATTAAATCAGTGAAGACCCATTTGTTTAAAGTTATAGGGTTGCAAATTTTATCCTACGAAGAGTTTAATACTGTCCTCAATCAAATCGAAGCCTTACTAAATTCAAGACCGTTCTTACTGGAATCGATGGAATGTGGAATATCTGACCAAGCTACAGGTCCGACAGAAATGGAATACAGTCACTAATCCTATTAAAAAGGGTGATTTGGTAGTTGTAAAACAAGAGAATGCGCATCCGCTCCATTGGGGGTTGGGAAGAGTTGAAGAGGTTTTTCCGGGCCCCGATGGAGTGGTTCGAGTAGCATTGGTAAAAACGGGAAATACTCTAATCAATCGGCCTGTTGTCAAACTATGCCTCCTACCTATTCAATAGTTTATATCTGAATTATTCATTTCAAAAAAAAAAACTTTTCTATCTCATGATATATTTGCTCCTATATATAGTTTTGCCAAAATTTTCAATCTCCAGGGCGATGAGAACACCCCTCATAGTCTCTGGAAGGTTCTTGTAAATGTCAAAAATCTAGACCCTGGCGCGAAAATAAAACTTCCGCAATCTAGATTGTGTGAATGTGGTAGGTCGTGAGAGCGGGACCCTGGCGCGAGGTCAGGCTTTCGTAACCGATCTACTCTGAATGAAAGTTTGAATTTATTTTGGCAATTCTATCCTTCCTAATCATGAGGTTCACTATGTACCAATTTCGAGTATTTTCAGGAGTATAAAAGGTTAACTTTTTAGTCGGGGGAAAATGTTTGCGCCGCACCTGTGTAGGTTGTCGGACCTGTAAAAGGCTTGTTTTTCTACTCGGACAATACGTTTCAAATTTATGCAATCGGGCAATTCTGACTCAAAAAAGAACGATGCAGGCAATAGTTCTGGATTCCGAGTCTATTCTTTCCGTGGCTTTCATTCATTCTGTTACTTTCAACAAGTACTTTCAGTTTCTTTCAGTGTTCGAGTTTATTCTTTCCGTGGTTTTCATTCATTTCGGTTTAATTCGTTCATTTCAGTTACTTCCAATCAGTACATTCAGTTCATTTCAGTGTTTGTTATCAGTTCAATATTATCAGTGGATTAAGTTTCTATTGTGTGTCAAGTCAACCAGTTATTTTTTTTGTTCTGTTATCAGTGTATTCGAATTCCCTTTCAACACTTCCAACCGACTACGCTGATGTTTCCAGATCCAACCAAATAGCTGCCGCGGCTTGGACTTCCAAACAGATAACATTTTTCATGCAATATTAATTAGTGTTGATTTTTGTTTTTCATTTATATAAAATTTATATAGAATATATTTTAGTTTATTATTAATTACGGATTAAGAAGAACCTTATTTTTTAATTTATATTTGTATTCCAATTAATTTTTGTTTTCTGAATACATTAATTTTTTTTTATTATTCTTCGGAGTATAAAATACTTTGAAAGGGGTTGAGAAACCCCACAACATCAACAGACGTACATTGCTTACTTCGATATTGTGTGATGTGCACTCAGACGATATATAGGTCCTGCCATCCTCTGCGATTTTTAAGTATTGAGAGCATCAGTTTATATGGAGTTAAAAATGTAAGCACCGATGTAACCAATGATGACAATAATATCTTTCTGCTTTGTTTTGGGCCTTCAATATTAGATCAAATCTCGCTCTAACTACTTCCATCTGTTGATTGAAATTAAATCGAGGTATAAATAGAATCAAGGATTACGCCAAGGCAATAGATTGATTTTTTCTATTATCTTATAACTTGTGATAAGAAAAACTTCACTCTTTTGTTGCGCCAATTGCCGGTTTATTATTTTGATTCAGCAATTTATTTTTCTCGAGGTTATGTCAAATTAATTTATGATTTCATCAATTTGTTTGGCAACAATTACTATGGCTAATCTGCATATGCTACTAGTTTGACACATGAAGGAGTTTTCAGTTTCAAAATGTCATCATACATAACATTCCACAGCAGAAAGCCTGGAACAGAGCCCTGCAGCACACCTCCAGTTATATTATATTTTTTTGTAATGTAAAACATAAAAAATTCAAATATTGTTATTTCAGTAATTAAAAACCTCTAATAGCGGTAAGATACCGATTGTTTTATTATCTTAAACAAATGTAAACAAAATTGCAATTTACTAGTAATGTAACAAAATTATATCCAATTCAATTAATTCATCATCAGTACCGAGTATATTGAGTAAATTTCACCAAAATTAAACGTACAAGTAAGAAAGACAAAAAACTGAAAGTATTGTCTGTATCCGATGTGTTAAATCAGCATAATTTCCAATATTTTAAAGACTTTAAAAAAGTATTTTTTTATACTAATTTAAGATACATATTTTATCAGAATAAATATTAACATGCTATAATCGTTGAGTATCTTTGCTTAAAACAATATGATGGCCCTACATTGTTTTCAAACTGCGATACGTTTTACGTAAAATAATATTTTATAATTTTAATAAAAAGCAAAAATATTTAGTAATTAATAATATTAATATATATGTGGGAGTAGTAATGTATATGAAAGTATAAACTCCACTTGTATAAAAATATATAAAATTTATTGATTATAAAAATATTACGATATCAAAATGACAAGTCCAACTGTTTTCTCTCTCATGACTAGCCTGCTTGATCCCCACACACTCCCTGCCCAGTGTTGACCTCACAGTTAAAAAAAAATACAGGGAAACACGTTATAAAAATATGGTGGGAAAGCAGATTATAGCAGTATTGTGGTACTAGTCAATTAGTAATTCCAATGTTTCGTCGGCAGATCCACCACAAACAGATGGCGCTCTGTAAGATTCTAAATTTTCGCAATGATTAAAATAATCTTGTCGACTTCAGTAGCCCTTTGGATCATACATCGGATTCTCGAATCCTTGTGGCTCTGTGACAAACACTTTTATCAATTGCTCACCATTTTCATTACCATCATAATTAATTGGTACTAGTTATAACAGAATTACCTAATGTTTGGAATGCATTATTTATAGGTACAGTTTCCATTTCTGCAGGCGTTGCATTCGTATCTGATGGGTTCTTATCACCGATAATGGAAAGTGGCATCAAAAGACGATTTGTTGAGTTAACGGCCAAGGAGAGGTTGACTTGCGATTCCATTGACCATTTGCGAGCGCATTCAATTCATGACCCAAGGTCTAGGATCAGAATTAACCTTTGTGTCAGCAATAAACACTGAGGTCTGGGTATACCAAATGGGTATACCGCGAAAGTCCGGTATCATGTAGTAAGTGCGTTAACTACGATGAACCGAGGACTGGACGTACCTTATGAGTAGTCACTGAAGACCAGTGATTATGGTGCTGCATCAAAATTTATATTTCTTAAATCCTTGAATAATACTCCTTCTTTGTTTTCATCTCAAGCGTCGTGGTCACCAATGTGGGAGTAGTAATGTATATAAAAGTATAAACTCCACTTGTATAAAAATATATAAAATTTATTGATTATAAAAATATTACGATATCAAAATGACAAGTCTAATTGTTTTCTCTCTTATGACTAGTCTGCTGATCCCTACACATATATACATATATACCTATTCGGCTGAAAAATAACTCATAAATTCAATTTTTGATAAAATCTTTTTTACTGAAAAAGTGCTAACGTGTATTCAAACATACAGGTAATTAATTCAATTTTGTCATTATCTTTTTCTTAAAATTTTCCATAACTTTCAAAAAAAATTTATCATTTTTAATATCCTGTTATATAATCCACTCATTTATTTTTATCTTTTTCATTTTGATCATATTAACATATTTCTGTACATTATTATGTTTTCAACTAATTTATTAATTAAAAAATCCATTTTCTTTTCTTAAACATATTGTTTGCTTAAATCTCACCAAGATCATGTTCCTTGACAAATGTCCTGAAGATGTAGAAAGAAAGAAAGAAAAGAAAGAAATAGTTTATTAAAAAACTTTTTTTTGTTTTTTATTACTTTTTGGATTCTTGTTCAAAACTCTACAATATATATATATATATATATATATATATATATATATATATATATATTGATTGTTTCTTTTCCGAACAGTAAATCCAATAATAAAAAACAATATCCTAAAGTATCCTACGTTGGCTCCCCATTCTATAATATCGCTAAACAGGATATTGGCAATGCCAATATTTTAAAAAATGTCACAATTTCCTTTCCTCACTATGTAAAGAATTCTTACCAATTTGTGGATCTAATCAAAGACCGAAACATTACGGTCGATCAAATTTTTCTAAGCCTTGATGTAATTAACCTTTTCACATGTGTTCCCCATAATTTAATACTTGCTTCAATTGAAAAACGCTGGCCCACTATTTGTAACTACACCGACTTTCCTATAACTAGTTTCAAACACATCATTAACACTGTCCTGAATTGTTCTTATTTTAATTGTTTCAATAATTTTTATTCACAATCAAAGGTATTGCTATGCGATGCCCATTATCCCCTGGCATTATAGACCTAGTTTTACAAACCCTTGAAATTTCTGTATTCTCCACATTAAATTTCCGAATATATTTTTATGTTAGATATGTAGATGATACCTTCTTTATAATAGATAATTTTATTATTTTATACAGATATTATATTCGATACTTTTAACAATTACAATAAGAACATTCAGTTCACACATGAAACACAAATCAATAACAAATTGAACTTTTTAGACGTGACTGTACATAAAATTGGCAACATTATTTGCACAAATTGGTGCGGAAAACCTACATGTTCAGGAAGGTACCTTCATTACGCGTCATACTGTTTCAAAAATTATAAAGTCAATATAATCATTTCTTTGATAGACCACGCAATAATGTTGTCTCACTTTTCCTTTCATACCCAAAACGCAACATTAGTATCTAAAACTTTATTAAAAACGGATATCCCCTCACCCTCATCAATTCCATTACCAATAAAAGACTTTCCTATCATAAAAATAATAATTATCAATACATCACCAAGTTATTCCAGAACAACAATATTAAACCTTCTTTTCACAGCATGCCTTACATTGAAGGCTTATTTGATTATTTTGCCAAATTACTCAAAGAAGAAAATATTTTTATTTTAGGAACAGCTTTATATTCTTTTAAAGAAATGTTTTCAAAAATTAAATCCACCACCCCTCCTAAATTCAATACTAACATATTT